CCACTTCTTCAGAGGGCGTTAGTGCACGAGGGCATTTCGCCGTGACAGACAAAAGACCGTCATGTTCTCTTGTCCAATACTGGCAGTATTCCAGTCAGTCCTCTCTCTGCCTCTCTTTGCTCCCTCTGCTCTCATTCAGTCAGGTTTCTCTCTGATGTCACTCTGTCGCGCACCCGCACTGACCCGCACCACTCTCTCGGACCTCGGCACTCTCGCATAGTTCGGCCATCCCCACCACCTTAAGGTTCACTCTCCAGTATGTATACATATACATATATCTCATTGTATATTTCCTATGTATACATTTCCAACCGTAAAACAATCGAACAATGCTGATGAGAACGAAAACAATTATGCGAAGAATGATAAAATTCTTCTTTCGCATTTTCTTGACTTTGCCGTTTCCAACGATCGTTTCTCGATCGTTTATACAAAATGTCAGTATGTATATAGAAATTTTAACAATAAAACAATATATGTCAAGCAAATTAAATATGTTAAATTCGATTTTCGTGTTTGCTTTTATGTTCAACTATATATACGTATGCGTGAGTCTTCCGAGGTTTCCACTATTATCACAAAAAAATCAAACGCAACAGGTGCGAAACCGCGCGATTAAAGTGTATGTAGCGTTTTCCACTATTTACGTATCGCTACTCACAATCAATAAATGTTGAATAAATGTTTATCAAATATATTAAATTATGTATTCGTGTGATTTCCAGAGTTTGAATTATAAGAAGAGATTAATGATCTTACCCTTAATTTAATCGCGTACATGCCACTGTTTAATTGACTATTCGCATGAGATTTTACTTAAAAATTAACCAATTATAATATAATAACAAGATATACTCTTGCTTTCTTCGGCAAAAGAATCAAAGATTAGAAAGATTAGATTGTATTAATTTTAAGAATAATTATATATAAATCAGAATACATATAAGGAGAATAGGAAAACTCGAGTAAAATCAAGTGATTTATTTGCTGCATTATATCATTAAAATAATAATCACGAGTAAGAATTTAAATTGGCGATAATCGTAATCCTGTTGTCGCAACCACGGCGCGGTGACGATGGTCGCGAGTAACGATAAACCTGCAGCTTCTGCAGAAGCAGAAACGATGAAACAATGGAAAGCCTCGGAAGGATCGTCCTACTAAAGAATCGTGCGATTTTAAGATATTCACGCGGTCCGCGCGTATGCCGCATACAATTATTGCTTTGTCCCCGCACGATCCTCCGCTGCGCGAGTGCGTGGCGTACTCTCTTTCTCTCACGGAGTTTCTCCTACTATATTCCGCAATTTTTCTCTCGTTATCGCATGATGGCATGGTTGGGAAACGTCTGCTTGCTTTTCCGCGAAAAGTGATCAATTATGACTATACTCGTGTGAGAATACTTTAAAAATAGTGTGGCTTCTCTCGATCTAGAAATTGTTCTTAGTCGTTTGTTGTATGTATAATGCTTTTTTCTCGCAATTACAAGTTGTTCATCCGATCTCTTTCTCTTTCTTTTTTTAGTGTCAATTTAACTTCAAACATCTGAAGAAAAATTACGCGTACGAAAATCGCATTCCTGATAAACATTTTATTTTATACTTCTGATATTTCGGTCGACGAATATATCAGTTTTCTATAAAGTTTTTTAGTTTTAGAAATTGTTTCACGCAAGGGATAAGGGATACTAAAAGTGTTGCAATTATATGGTAATATATATATATATATATATATATATATATATATATATAACCACGCAATATTGACGGAAACTAATTATAATGAAATTGTGGGTTGCAGTACTTTTTCGCCTCATTCACTCGTTCACTGAATAGGGTTTTGTGAAAGCCCCTCCGCGGAACGGATGGGCTTCCTCCCTGCTTGGGAAAGTTATTTCCTACGTGATTTACTCGTGGCTTGCAACAATGTGGTCCTTCCTTTCCTAATTCTATCGCGCGCTTTACACACACACACACACACACACACACACACACACACACACACACACACACACATATATATATATATGAGTATTAATTCTACCATAGATTAAACTTTTTGCCATTTGCTTGACATCGACATTTACAATACATTATACAAATCGACACGAAGCGAGCACAAATTTAATTATCTTCACTTGAAGTGACGAAAGATAAAATGGTCAAACGCACGAAAAGAGCAAATTTATTACGAATACAACTAAAGATACAAGTTAACGTATTTTCAGTTGTATTCGTAATAAATTTGATCTCTTCGTGCGTTTGACCATTTTATCTTTGTGTATTGTATATAACAAATAAGCGCAAAAATTGGCTCAAATCGATGGAATATATCTTCCGGTTTTAGGAAAGGCGAATCAAGCATTATATTAAATACCAATTAGTGATCCAAACACCTGCACGTTCGCGCGCGCGCTACGAGCGATTGCGCGCAACAACTTTATATTTAGAATTAATTTAAACATCGAAATACAAAAGTGGGATTACCGGAAATATAAGTAGAGATCGAGCATACATCCGGAACTTCATTGGACGTGGCACGCCGCGCCGCACCGTGTGCGCCAGAGATTCGCAATCGAGAAGTCGTTCGGAGGAAGATGAAAAGACTGAAAATTGTGAAAAGAAGAGACGCGAAAAGAGCGTGAAGAAAAAAAAGATAAAAATCTAGATACGATACAGATTCAGGTCACGCTGTTGTTAAAATCATCATGGTCGCGTCGCGTAACTATATACACAAAAATCGAAAAAAAAATTAATCTCCTTAATGGAAAGGAGTGCTTCCTCAATACGCTTGTTGCTGGAAAAAATAATTTCAAAACTTTATTTTCGCAACATCTAGTGTAACACGAGCTATCTAGAGAGAATAGCACGCCTTTGTTTACCCAAACATTTACACATGATATTATGGACGAGGTAATTCTATTTTCACAAGATGCACAAGACACGCATCGCACTAATGATAACGAATCATCTTAATTGTGAGTGAAAATTAGATTGGCCGCCCTCAATTTCTATGACGTTTACAGTTGACACCAACGACATGAAGCATACAGAACTGCGCCATCCGTACGTGCAAAATTGGTTGACAAAAATAAGATAAATGCTGCGAAGACGGTCTCTATCTCTTTCTATTCAGCGGTGTAATAAAAAAGAGAAAGAGAGGAAAATTGGCCGCTTTCATGCTCTTTCTTTCACATTTTTATTGATATATTATTTACGTTTGATATAATATATTTACAATCCAGGATGGCACAATCCACAATCTATATGTCTTTGGTTGGCACATCCGCGAAGATTCGACGCAATGACTACACGTAATACCGACAAAATATTATTAAAGACGATCGGTCAAAGGCAAATTTTCGTAACTGTCAAGTGGGTCTGGGGATAATTGAAAAAACGGTGATATTATCACCTATTTTAGTTGTTTACCGAGGATAACAAAAACACGATTGTTTTATGTAACCAAATTACTATTTTATTATCGATAGTTGAAATTTCATATGTTATTTTTCAATTTCTGCAATGTTTGCTATATGTAGATACGTATTTAATACACGTATTTTTTAATAATTTTTGAGAATTACGAAAATTTTTTGCCGGCCGCATCTTTTATAATACCTATCTCGTCGGTGCGAACGTATAATATATATACGAGCACGAAGCGTAATACTCGCGCGATACTCTGCACTCTTACAATTAGAACAGAGTTATTAATAAAGATTCCATCTTTTCTCGAAGATGTTCTCCTGAAAAGAAGAAAACATGTGCGTTGCAATGTGGCACTGATGCTCTGTATATCATAGCTCTCTATTTATCGAATGGATCAATGGTGCTTTATGGTGCTTTCGCCCGCTTTTTTAGTATTATGTAGTATGAC